CAGCCTCTCTTGTCATCACTGAGACGACTAGTAGAGAATATTTACATTGCGGCTTTGAAAACACGAATATTTCCCTGCTACACACTCTCACACATACGCATACACACACACACAAACAGTTTGAACAAATCAAGTAGAACATACTGAGTAGGATAAAATAACGTGATTATATTTCGTGGGGTTTTTTGTCGGTTGCGTAAGGCCATGAACAATTTAATATTAATAATACAAAATATTCAAATACTGTAGTTACTGTTCATAAAGGTGGCGGATATTATTACCGTCACGTGATTCAGTAGTATAGTGGAAGGGAAAAAGAACATTTGTTAAGCTTATTATTATGTATGGAAGTAATTATGAAGTGTGTTCTAGGGTTATGAACGAACATTACAAATTGAGTAGGGGAGTAAAAGCAGTACCATATTTATATAAGAGTAAAATAATACAATCGAACAGTGAGTAAAGACGATCAGGTCAGGAATAGAGATAAATTTTCAAGATTTTGTTTGTAGGGATTCGATTTGTTTCATTTTTGACCACGGATTTATATCAGTTAGAGAACCACTGAAAACAAGTCCTAGTTCGTGACCTACTGGTTGCGAGGAGTCCTCGTAGAGAATTTAACCACTGGGACCTGACTCATTGGCCCATGAATTCTAACATCCACCATATCGTGATTTTGTCGCAACTGGCAAAACCCAGTGTTACTGCTGGCGAGTATTTGTCTTCACTCCAGACCGAGTGAACCCCACTGGACACGACTTCCCATTACAACTCCAGGCAACTTCGTCTGGCAGGGGTAACCCGATTACTTTTAAAGAGTTTGTTTATAGGGATTCGCTTTGTTTCAAGTTTGCCTTGAAATTGGAAGGTCTTAAGTTCGAAACCCGGCCGGTGCCTACCACCGGTGAGTCCCAAACTAGGGTAAAACAGCTGTCCAGTACTCCCGGGATTTTAATGGTTCTCTAGCTGATATCAATTCGCGATCAAAATTTCAATACAGATAAAGACAAAATTAGTGTAGGAAACTACATCGTCAGAACAGAATATAACAAAAACAACAAAAGTAACATAAGTAATATTTACCATGGTAAGGCAAGATTATCAACGGTTTCTTTTCGGATGCACAAATTTGGTTATAATTGTTTAATTCCAATCTCCTCAATTATACAACGTCACCTGGAGCTATTTTGAACTTTAATTATTATCTTAAAGGATTTCAGTGGATAAATTTCATGACCACTGTCTAACAGGTGTCAAGCAATCGCAATGCTAAACAGTTTTGCACCTTTCAGACGCAGGTCTTCAGTTATGTGGTCGGAAATCCTTCTTTCTGTTTGTCCTATGTATATGCTGTGACATGTACATGAGAATCGGTATATGCAGTTGGGCGTAGCATGAAAGGGGGGGGGTTGGCAGCTGTAGAAGCTCTGTGGGAAACAGCATTTATTCTGTATTTAATTCTTCCAGATATGACATCGTCTTTGAAACCAAAATTAAGGAGGATTGGTTTCTTTTATACTCTGTCACGTGTTGCTTTTATATGTGACATCCTCATGCGTTTATGAATACATTTTTGGGGATATTCATTGTCTTGAGTCAATGGATTGACATTATAGGATTAAAACAAAATTTATTCATCCAACCATTATTCATCTTGCCTTAGCATGTTAAATATGTTGCCTCACTGTGAGCAGTATGAAAAAGGTTAGATTATCCATGGGTCGTTGTGTACATATCTGTTGTTTTCGTTTAATATTCATAACTCTCAGATACTATTTCTACATATTTAATCCCTGATTGCATAAACAATTATTCATCACACTAGTTTTTTATCTAAACATCCTGTCTATTTTGTTATTTCTACATTTTTAACCCCCAATTGCACAATGTCAATCTTCTTAGTTATTATAATGCTACTTTGCTCGAGTTTTATCCGTCCCCCTGTTTATTATGGCATTCTAATTCCTAATTGTAATTTTTATTAATTTGACCCTTAACCGGAAATTATTCTGGAACTTTCCCATCCATTTGATATAAATACACGAATGTACAGCCTAGATGATGACTTCGTCTAAAAGAAAATTTTCTTCGCTGCAACTGTTTTTTTAATAACTCCTATGACCCAATGTGTATACTCTCAGATACGGTTATTCCACAGTTTTAAGTTGGTTTCAAAAGTATTCGTTTACATAAGATTTTTTTTCATTTCTTTGCTTTCTGAGTGGGACATATGGCTTCAAACTTTGAAGTTTCGGCAGTGATGCTGTTTGTACAGAGTGAGGTTGCTAGCTTCACGCTCAGCCTCCCCTGTTTTTATCAACTTACCACTGGCTAGGCTAGTGTTAGGGTGGCGTCCGCCGAGGGTTGGACTTAAAACACGTGAATGTACCATTGAATCTTTGACGCACACTAAAAGAGATAGAGTGTAATAATTTTTGTAACTGTCCGAAGTAATGTTACTCTCATTAGAAATATCGTACAACTTTTAAAAAGATCAATGTGATAATTCTATGAAATAAAAGTTTAGTAGCTTTATAGCTGATCAGACAAGAGACTAATTTCGCTTAGTTTTCATTGGAGTGAAAAGCAGTTGGCAGCATGTTAAGTACAAGATTATTAAATAAACTAATTTCTTAATTATTGGTAAAGCAGCATTCAAACACTTAGTAATGGTGACCACGATGCAAACTTGACTGGCAGAATTCAGTCTGCACCAAATGAAGGACTAGAGGCATGACAGTTACCACTTAGTACCCAATCAAAGTATTCACTGAAGTCTTACACAAAGTCAATCGCCAGCCCGTATAGTTCAGTGGTGACGTCTGTGACTCCAGCACTGAATGATCAAGTGTTTCGAATTTCAGAAGGCACATGAGTTCTTTCAGGATTGCAGATAAGCTTTGCTGAGGGGAGCTATTAAGCACGAAACCTAGGTGCAAAGCTTCCTGCTACTCAGGAGGTGTACTAAAACCCCCTGTGAGATATTAACTACCAATGCTGTCAGTGCATCGAAACTCCAGGAGTACATTATTTTGAATACACATGAAATCAGGTGTAACTAAGTTCAATGCTTAAAAGTGACTGGATTAATGGTTTTCCGGTATTTAAAGCTTCAAATGGTTTTGCAGGCAACATATTGCAGGTTTTACTAGCTGATGTCAGTTAGAGAACCATTCGAAAACCAGGTAGCAATACCGAACAACTTATTTGTTATGGTCTGGGACTCCGATAGTACACACCCATTGGGGTTTGAACCCAGGACCTTCTGGTCACAAGACGAGTTTGAAGATCATTTATACACTCAATTCCAACCCAGTGACGCATGAATTCCAGCTTCTGCCAATTCGCAATGTACAGCGCTGCCACCAGTCACTTTCATTGGCGAGTAACTGCTTTTTTACCTGACTTGGCTGAACCTTGTGGTCACGGCTTCTCATTAGAACGCCAGATAAATTCCTGTATACTGTCAATCACCAGTGAGCATCAGATTTGTTTACTAAAATGAATTCTCAAAAAATGGGCTCTAAAATGTATTGACCCTAATCATTAAAAGCGTATCATTGATAAACAAAAGCATATACTGCCGGAAGCTTTTAAAGAATAATCATAAGAATAATAAGAGCTTTATGCTGAACACTATTTATATAATGTCAAAAGTTTTCAGTGGAGTTTATTGCATGATATTTTCCCTTTGTTCAATATCTTCAAGTAAAATATTAATTGACAATAGCATATCCTGTGACACAATGGTCTCTGAGCTGAAGCACAAACCATTCCATTATGATATGTCTGCTTTGTCTCCTTCAAGAAATCCACGATATCGATCTAGTTGAAAGCCGATTGTAAGATGTTCAGAAGTACATTTTGGGACTCAAGGACATAACTGAACAGAAGAACAGTAATCTCATGTGTCGGGAAGCGTTGACACCGACAATCAGTCCTTTTCTCAAATTTACTAGGAACCCTTCGAATCAGAAACTTGTAAAAATTTTAAATACACACAAGAGTAGATAATAAATACTACTGGAGGTCATATTTTAGCCGATTAAAACAAAGCGAACGAGTGAAAATATATATACAATAGGAAGATGGAAGCCTTTGCTAGTTTAAGTTTTAAGCAGGCCGCCGTTCGACTACGCCTCTCATACTGCGAATTCAATTAATAAGTGTTTGGATGAATTCAGTAGGTGCTTAGTCGGCCATTACACATAATGATCCACCACCACAGTGTACAATTAATGTGTCAATTTCGGAACATTATATCTAACTTCATGTCAGTCATATCCTTGCAAACCTACTTTTAAAATTTAACCTACTACCCACTAGGGAATTCTAGTGACAAAAATCATTACCATTGCAGTCCATAGAGTCAAACGTGGGATAAATATCTGCCGATGGTATTGGCTGAAAACTGGTCAGTTTATATTTCGCGAAGTGACAAAATTTAGAAATAACTAGTTTCAATCTGTCCTAATGGTTGAATGGGTGTGAACTGAAAGGTACCAGGTTCAATCCCTCACTGTGATGCAAAGAGTACATACCTTTAAACATTCTCGAATTGAGACGAGATGGCCTATTCATTGGTTCTCGATGTTTCTCTTACTGATGTCATTCTTTAATTTATATGATGATGCCTTCGGAGTGCTTTTCAAAACAACTTTGGATATTGATGATTTTTAAAACAGTCTTGTGAGAAGTTTACTGTACCCATGTAACTTCGTTAAGTTTCACAGAGTTGTGGTGTCCTTGCAGTTTTTCACATCGTGAAAAATACCTATCATAATTTTATAGAAAAAAGAACAAGAAGTTCATCTCTGACAGTCAGTGAATTAAGTGGGTTACTGTCAGCTGAATTTCTTGTTCCTTTTTCTTCGACTTGGGGAGGTGAGTGATTCAATTTTCAATCAATCAAATTATATCCCTTTTTATTTCAAAGTACCTTATTCATTAACTCAAAGCATTTTAACATATTCTCATTGTGTTTTCCTTTTTTTCAGTTGCTATGACAACACCGTAATCTGAAATTTCGATGCTATTTCTACACACTTCACAACACACAACATCGTAAATGAATATTTCGTAGTTAAATCTCTGGCGTAAGGAAACCAGTTCCTTCGAACAGTAACAGTGAAACGCGATGAAGATCCCTGGAAAATGATTTTGAGTGCTTTGATAATTTTATATATATATATCTGTGCTGCAATTGTTGTTGTACTTGTTGCTAATCTTTTGCTTTTGTGTTCATTGATGCCTGCCTGCGCATGTTTGTGTGTGTGTACCTACATGTGTTTATGTGAACACATAAAAGTTGTGTATTTTGTAATCATATTTTCAGCGTTTACATTTCCCGCTTTCATGTCAATGTGTCCAATGATTTTTAAACAAAAAACTGATCAACTTTGAATTAATTGTTCAATGTTCAAGAAATTTACAAACGTTTATAATTAGTATATATATTTATATGCTATATAAAAAATATCTTTTTATCAATCACTTAATTGTTGAAAAAGCAGAAGTTCAAAATAAGAACACGCAAATTGTGAACATTAATGATAGATTTATTGATATTTTGTCCTGACTTTCATTAACGGCGAAATGTCCCTTGATAGAATGAACGTTGAATTACTCTAAACTATTTCGAGGTGAAAAAAATTCGAATATTTTCTCGTCAATTTTATCTTACAGACAACATTTTCTTCTTCTTGTTCGTGTGTGTGAGTATGTGCAATCGATAAATAATGAGCATAATTGATTTTTATTATTATTATTATTGATTTCTTATTTTAAACAATCATTTAGCAAAAAGAGTAAAAGGGCAATAAACTGATGAAGATAATATTTTTCTCCGATTTCTTTTCTTTCTTTTTTTTCTAGGCTCATCAGTTTTTCTTCTTTTGCCTGGCTTCTTTTGCGTTTGTCTGTTGGTGTGTGTGTGTGCGTGTAGGTTGTTTGTATTCATTTTCTACGCATTGAACATTTTTCGTAACAATATAAAAGAAGATGTTTGGTTTTAAAAGCACTAAAGTGATTGCTATCGATCAAGACTTATTGATTTTGATGATATGTCTACTAGATAAAGGCTTTTCGAGTGTGTGTGATCAAGCCACCTGAATGTTGCTCACTTCTGATTTTGTTCCAATTGGAAGAAGGGCTACAAGCTTCGAGGTTTGAAGTGTTGTTCGCAGTAGTGGTTTTATTCTTTTCACCAGGTTGGATTGCTAGTCTCATGTCCAAGCTTCCTTGTGTGCCTCGGCTTAGTACTGGGGCTAGGCGAGGTTTAGGCGTGCGTCGGCTGGGAATCAAGCTCTAGACCACATGAAATGAGGTTAGTAAGTATTTTACTATCGAACCACCCTTGCGATAAAAAATATATATTAGATTGTATCGGTACATACACATTTGCAAATAAGAACCAACTTCGAGGCATAAGTTTGATTGATTAGTGACACTAAATCTCGCCAATGATTTTCCTGATTGCAGTAGATTGGATAATGCGACAGACAGAGGGCAATGAGGAAACAGGCATAAAATGGACTCACACAAAACACTTGGAGGATCTGGACTTCGTCGATGATATGTGTGTGATTTTTCACAAACTGGAAGATATGCAAGCGGAAAGCAACAAGTTGGCAGAAGTAGCATCCAGAGAAGACTGGACTTCAGGTGAACATAGAGAAAACAGAGGTGATGAAGATTCCTGGGCAACACCACCAACAGCAACAACAACAACAGACAACGATCAGCATGAATGGGAGGAACCTGAAAGAAACAACCTCTTTCCACCTACCTGGGAAGCATCGTTTCAACTACAGGTGGAATTGATGAGGATATCAATCAAGGATCGGGGAAGCAAGATAAGCTTTTGCTACTCTCAAATCTGTGTGGAGGTCAACACCACTCAACATCAAAAATAACATCCGGGTTTTCAACTCCAATGCGAAGTCAGTGCTACTATACGGATCAGAGACTTGCACTGCGCGTTATAAAGAGCATCTCAAACAAACTACAGACCTTCATTAACAGTTGTCTTCGCTCAATACTCAAGATCAGATGGCCAGAAAAGATCAGCAACAGGGATCTCTGGGAGCGAACCAACCAGGAACCGATTGTGAAACAAATAGGTAGGAAGAAATGGAGATGGATTGGCTGGTCATACTCTGAGGAAACCATCAAGTGACATCACTAGACAAGCCCTTGAGTGGAAACCGAAAGAGAAGCGGTGAGTTGGTCGTCAGTGCAAGGGTGACTTGGAGGAGGTCATGTGAAGAGGAGATGAAAACGTGTGGATAGACTTGGATCCAGGTGAAGACTCTAGCAGAGAATCGAACGCAATGGAGACGCGTGGCTGAAGCCCTATGTTCCTCTAAGAATTAAAGGAAACAATAATAATAAACCTTGTCTTGATATTGTAGGAAATTGAACATTTTCTTCTATTTTTGGGGTTTTGCAGGTATTTTAATTTATTTCGGTTTAGGTTGCATCATAGGCTGACAAAGCACCATGTCATATATGAAGTAGATGAACACCAATGGCAATGGTTGACAGTGGTGCTAAATACGACTAACTGTCAGAAGGGGAAATTCACGAGTCACTGGGTCACAAACCAGTGACTAAATGTGACTAATTAGCTAATCTCATAACCTCAAGGTTCTGAGGTCACTCCCCTTTATAGGGTCACTGATATATAGTTCTGAAGAGTCTTATGTTAGCACAAAACCACAGTCCAATGCTCCTTAATTTTTATTGTTTCTCAGTCTAACGATAGTCTGTGATGCAGTCTACGTAGGAAGACACTTTACTTCTAAAGTTTTCAGCATCCACAACTATATGATGGGTCAAAATTATGTCCAATAAGTTACGAGGTGAGTACTTTATGAGATTTAAACACTTGGACGATAGCTTTCAACTCTCAATTATTTATAATATATAGTCCCTGTGCCGTTCAGTATTACTGATTGTGTTTGTTTTCGAAATCAGGTAAATGTCGTTGGTCAAGACTTTTCTTTGAATGTTGTGCTGGCAAATATCTGATCGATTTCGAGTGAACATGGATGAATAAATTTTAGGTGGGTTATTCATTGATTCAATTTTGAAATAACAGTGAACGGGTTCGCACGAATTTCGATGCAAGTGTATTAATTCACTGATTCTTCGGGTTGATCGACCGTTGCATTCAATCAAAAATCTTAAAAAGTAGCAAACTAAAAACATCGATTAAATGTCGAATGTCCAGCGGGTAATGTGTTTCAGGTTGGAACGTTAATATCTCAGCTTTGACCCTTACTTGGAGTTTTTCTGCAAGCTGGTATAACAAACATTCACAATTAGGATATTTTGAGCTCTTTCAGCTCTTTTAGTTACGTCAAACCAGGTACACACCTGATAAGCTTTAAACAAGGAAAAACAGGCATCTGGCCATTTGGATTACTCTGGTTAGGTCCGTCATCTTTATTCTGAAAATTGAGCTTAGACGCGAAAATAATTCTCACTATAGTAGGTTTTCGCAAAATGTTTACTCCCCTTATGGAAACCTGAAGTAACTATTTATCGACAGCATATCGTATGACACAATGTCGTTCTATCTGGAACAAGAGTCAATCCTTCAATACACTTTTCCTTCATTTTTTTCTAGAAGTGATGCAGAGAGATAGTTTGGAAGCCAGTCACAAATTCGCATGAGTTTTTATTACCATCCAGGAATATCACTGGAAGCATAAACTAACAAGAAATGAAGAAAATTAGGTGAATTATGCTGGGTGGAAATTTACAATCGAATACTAATGAACCCAACATGTGAGGAATAAAGCAGAAAAAAATACTTCAGGTTTCATCACAGACTCACGTCAGTTAGAGGAGTGTTAGGTAAACCAGGTAGCTCTGAACGGCTGCTTTGTCCTAGTTTGGGAATCTTCAGTAGTACGCAACCGCGAGCTTTCGAACCTAGAACCTTCCGTGCACAGGACAAGCTGGTATGCTATTCAGCTACTGGGACCTAATCCGTTGGCCTATGAATAATAATTTCTGCCAATTCGTGATTTTAGGGCGAACAGCGGTCAATGTCATCGGAGAGTAATTGTCATCACACCTGATCTGGTGGATCCAAATGCTCAGGACTGCTTACTGTAACATTGTCCTTTAGTCAGTCACTAGCGAGGTTCAGATTGATTTTCAACAGTTAGTTCGGGAACAAACAAGGATCACGGGTTTGCAATGTACGTTCGTAATATCATAAACACGAAAAAAAATTCAAAATGCCTTGATGTCAGATAACAAGATAAAGATAAAAGCAGAAAATACCTCCGTTATGACTTTACTGATGATATATATATATATATATAACACTTAGTGAAACAGTGCTACTAACTGTATGACGTCCTGAAGAGAATTAATTGAACACAATCTTATAGAAAATCACAACTTAACTGTTCTTTATCTACAATTTTTTCCCTTCATCGTAAGGTTTGTATATTTTCCTAAATATTTAGGCTAGATTTTGATTTCCTGGGATTCCATTACTCTGACGACAAACTAAAATCGGTGGGGGGGAATCATGTTATTATGAATTTGCAAGGTTACATTTGACCTTTTCTTATTGCACTGTTTAGTAATGCGGGTCCAAGTGTCCTAAGGGACATTAATTCCTTAGAGAGTGCGGATATTCCTCGCTGGTGTGTGCCAACAATTAGTAGTGGAGTTTTATGCTGACTGCCTCAAATACTAATCCGTCTAGCCATTGAGATGCTGAATTTCTGGCTTTGGTAACTTCATTGCAAGGTGGACTGATAGTCTTTAGTTATTACCAACAGAAAACAACTGGAAATATGCAATTAGGGTGCTACTTAGTAACTGATCACTGTCAGCTTCCTAGTTATCTGAGATTCTGCATTAAGAAGACGATGTAGTTTATTGAAGAATGCTTAAGTTTTTGCATGCATAAATTTTGAATAAAAGTTAGAGAGAAGGGATTTGAAAACATAAATGAAGAAGAAACATTTAGAAGAAAGTTACTCCCCTTAGTTTATAACAGAAAAACGCAATACGTTTACTATTAACTTTACAAAGAGGGGTAGAAATGTTGAAAAATGTAACAATGAAGTTCCATCCTAACTAAGACATATACTGATCCCATGGGTAGGGAAAAAATTTCAAGCGAGAATATATATATATACAGTAAACTTTATTTATATGTATTCATTAAAACACAAAATTGGAACATTATCAGCCCCAGGAGACGCGCCACATAAAACCTTCTTGTTTTTACGTGAGGGCTAGGATGCCGCTTGGATGCCCACACTGCGGCAGCTGATTGTATTAGGGGGAAATCTACAGAGCCTCTGATTTGAAGTCTGTCTCACAAGGCAGTGTAGCAGCGTCATCACTTGCCTTCCAATTGATTTTCAGTGACTAAAAAATGTTCATATGCGGATGGATCTGTTTTACTTCTGAAATCCATGTATTTTTTAATTTTTAAAAATTTTATTATAGCTTAATTCCACACAGTATTTTGGTACAAGTATGAAATATTCAGCATGTGATATCGGTAGCCCAAATTTAGCAGGCCGACCATAAATATCAGTTGTGCGTTGGCGGGGGTTCGAACCTCGGACCATGTGCGTGGTCGGCGAGAGTCCTAACCACTGTGCTACCGACGCACTATATATGTGTGTTTGGAATTGGAGTTTTCCAACTCACCTGGATAGACAAGCATGTCAGCAAGTCTGGTTGTAAGCACTAGGCCTTTGCATTTGACCTCTCACTTTTGTGTGCAGCAACGTAGACAGCGTGATGGGGTAAGAAGGAGACTTATCTAGCAGAGGCTATGAACTCATGGCCACATGAGAATATTTTGAGAGGAAGACCGAAATCTAACCTCCCTCGGAAGTACGAGGTTGTTTATGGGGGCATAATGTTCGGTAGGATGACACTTTATGAATTTTTGGATACTATTTATGCTATCGGCAAACACTGTTAGTGCTCTCTGTGTAAAGCAAAGGTGAATGACTACCATGCATACCTTATTTCTTCCAGAAACCTCTAAAATTTCCTTTCTATAGTCTTGAACAGGATAATTAATTGTTACTGGAATGAAATAGTAACATTTG